TTTAGTATGCATTAGTTGACCTAGATTTACAACAATAATCGTTATAAAGGAAGCGAGAATAATTTAAATTGGCAGATTGAAGCTTATTATAATCATAACCATGTACGCACGGACTCGAGTTTACTTGATAGTCGATAGCGTCGACAGCAAATGACATTGAAACGTTTGTATGGATATTTCGAAGTCCTGACAGTATAATTAATATCCCGTAGGTTATTTCAAGCAAATATTTGACTAGCGACGTCGAACAAGGCCAGTTAACCGCGTCGTGGATCGTAAACTGACCTCAATACAGAAAGTGGGGACAAAATAGCCAAAATACAAAACATTTTGTTCTAGGCCTCTCAGTTCCCGCCTCGCCGCGTATAAGGAACGTTAAGAGGCCTAGGGACTACGCTGCGGTAACTCTGGTTGCTGAGTTGACTGGGTCCGAATCCATGAAATGGTAGATTTGAATTTTTCTCGCCAGAAGTACGGCTGGAATATTAAGTCTTTTAAACTCCAATATATATTTCAAACGATTTTAAATATTTTGTAAGGACTTTTCCCGGAGAATAAAGAAAGACTTATCATTAATGCCATCACAATGCTCATTGCTCACGAAGGTATTGTATATCTTTGCCAATAAATATATTTAGTGTTCACCCCTAAAATATACATATTCTGACTGCTATTACCTTCACAGGTATTCAATATATACATAAAATAGTTAAAATGTTTCGTCTATTTGCAGGAGACCAAAACAAAATATCAGATAAAGATCTCGAAGCACTGTTTCACGCTTTGAGACATTAGGTTGGATCCAAAGCAGGTTTCACAACGCTCACTAGGTGAGAAACGTTTATCTTTAACCACAACACACGCTGTTTACTCAACCAGCTCACTTTCTCTAGACCGTGTTTCTGTTTTGTTTTTACAGCTTCTATGAGAAGGTTGGTGTGAAAACTGTGAAAGCTTTGAAGAGGAATAATGAAGCCGTGACTCACGCCGCTGTCGACATACTGTGTGCTCTGATGCAGGTAAAGAGAGGGCTTTCCTTTAAGCGGCCAAAATGGTCAGACCGGTCATATTTAAATTTAAAATAGAGTATTTCGTTAAGAATATAGTTGCGAAATTTCCGAGCTAGACAGATGCAAGTAACGATATACTTGAACGCAGAGTTCTTGAAACACTCTAAAATACCAGTAATCTGTCTGTACCGAGATCAACAATAGGACCGGTCTGGCCGTTTTTTCCGTATAAAGGAAAGCGCCAACACTTTAACGATGAATTTCCTGGTAATATGTTGCCAAATCTGTCACTGTCATTAGTGTTACCCCTTTAACTTGCAATCCACATAAACTCAGCCAACTTTGAAATCTGAATGTTAACAGGATCCAATTTTATCGAAACCAATTCTGTTTTTTTATATAGCCAACGCACGATAACTATGACATTCGACAAGAACAGATAAACAAAAGCTCTTTGTTATCCTCTGAAAAATTTCTAAGCAGTTTGTTGGAAATTCTCACGATAAATGTTGTAAGATGTGCGGTGTTGGTTGCCTATAATCTATGCTGAACCCTTGCATTTTATTTTTCCATCCCTCTTGTATGTATATAGCTTTGTTTTGGAAGAGAAATTCCCTTGCAAAACCCAGCAAGTGATTCGTAGCAACTGCCTTTCTAATTTGAACTACCTTTCTAACTAAACACAAGAAATAGATTAACCATGAAAACTTTTCTTCTATATTCGTTCTACTGGGGTTTTAGTTATAAGTGGATTGCTTGATTTTCTGACGTTTGCTCTGTGTCCTCCTTACAGGTTTGTTCTAGTTGCTTTGCAATATATTAAAATAATACGGGGGTGAAGTTGAACATTCATGTTAAACTAATAGTAAGGTGTGATTGCTTCCAATATTTTGAATCAACTCATGTAGTCTGTTACAATAAATCGACTATTGCATATTCCTCTTAGTGAGACAACAGATGATGAACAGTTTGGGAAATTACTGGAGAAAGTTGCAGGTATGCTACAAAGAAATTTGAGGAACTTTTCATTCAACTTGTCTTCTTGGTAGTTTATGGCTCTTTGACTGAGGTTGAGAGTTGATTAAATAGCCTTTCTCTCTTTACCTTTTTGGTGAAGTTTACCACGTCCACTAGCTTGACCCATGCATAGGAGCAACTCATGAAGTCTGTTATTTGTTTGTCTAGAAATGGGTCATTGCATTTATCGATTGTTCCAGGTAGGTTTACGACAAAACTAAATAATAGTACCAATTTTACCATTTCTTCGCTTATGTATGTTTTACTATTGCCCCGCTAATGGTTCTTACCAATCGTGGTTTTGAATTCGTTCCTCAACAATTTCAGCATCCGTCGACAACAATTGTGAAAGGTGCTGGCATGGTTCTGAAGGCGATAATCGAGGTACGTTTTATTCATTCATTCATCCATTGAGAATTTTCTGCCTTTGACGAACGTCATTTATAACGCTCTGCATTTTTTTAGCCGTGATGAATGTACATATTAGTTCAGTTGATATTTAAGAGGTTTTAAAGGGTCTTAATTTTGAGAGGTATTATACACACTTCAAATCAAGCCAGGAACAGATGACGGAAAAATGAGTGAACTATAGATCCTCCGGCAGGAATCGAACCTACGCTTTTGCGATGCCGGTGCAATGCTCTTGTCACTGAGGACGTACAGTTGACTCATTTTTCCATCAACTGTTCCCTGCTTGAATTTGAAGTGCGTATAATACCACTCGAAATTAAGACCCTTTAAAACCTCAAGAATATTCCTGCATCGTGTGAAGTGCCTAAAATCATCTGTTAATATTTAGTTAGAACTTCACTTTAGGAAGCTGATGAAGAAACCGCGGCAAAAATACAAGTTCTGGCGCTTGCCGAGGGCGCTCTACCAAAACGCTTACGCATGGCCATGTTTACGCAAAGCACTGATAGACGTTCGCTATTGAACAGGTGCGAATTAGTGTGATAAATTAACAAATTGTTGCAGAGGTATAGCCTCTATTCCATCCGCAGGACCTGAGTTGTATTTTAGCAACATTCTCAGATTCATCTTAAAACTTGTGATTTTATAATCCTCTATATACTAGCCATCTGTAAATAGTTCAATTGAGACTAACAAGCATACTCCATAAGTAATTTATAATCATTATTGTTGGCATAGCATCATCCAACAGCAATGGCATTACTTGCGAGAATAATGTTCGTATTAAAGTAGTTATAGTTTTTAATGTCTAAAATATACAAGAAAGTTTAAATGCGAGATTTCCTGTTCATAATTTTTGGTTCATAAACAATTATGTAATAAATTTGAATACGATTTTCACAGCCTGCTGGTTTGCTCTATTACCTTGAAAGCCCTGACGAAGTAAGAAATCTTTGAAAACTTTTTTGCGAGGGCCATTATTTACATAAACCCATTGAGGTGATTCTGACTAACCAATCGTATTCATGACTAAGTGGTATCAACTGCTTTGGTAACTAAACTCCATCATTCATCCTTAAACTGTGCCAACTGCCCCACTGACGAAATAATTAAATGGTAATTCATTCAGAAGTGTAAAACCTTTTTGTAAAGAAACAATTTTGTTGGAAAGTTTTTATCTTTCCTTCAGCCACCAGAGACTGAAGAAGATCGTTTATCAATTCGTGACAATGTAAAGCTTGCAGAAGTACGTTTTAAATCAACAATCGTGTTCCAAAATTTCATAATGCATGCTTGCATGTACGTATAAGCCTGTTATTTCACGTGCTATACTTGTGTCTTAGAGCTCTGGAAAAACGAGGGGAACGTTGAGGAATCAACTTGAAGGATATCTCTCACATTGGAGGACAAAAATAGGATTCAAATCTAGGAAAGATGTGAGAATTTAAATCCAGTTTTTTTATTAAAGTAAGTGTTCATATTAAGAAAATGGGAAAATGTTCTAGTCGTTTGAAAGATGAAAAAGCAATGATATTTTCGGACAGCGTACAACCTGATTTGGAATTACAAGGTGAGTCTCGAAGTTAAGGTTAGTTTCCGTTGAAAATATAGGAAATGGAAATGTAATGGAGGATTTCCTGTCGCTATGAGTATAACAAGACAAATTCAATAGTCCTGACCTCTTTCTCTAAACTGTTCTCGTAAAAGAGTATGAAACAATTTCTTATGTTTTCAATGTGACAGACGCGAGAGGAACTTCTGGGGCACTCGAATCTGATTTGCACGCATTTGCAATGGAAAAAGATCTGAGTGGAAACTACGTTGTCTTTTGGAATCACCTTTAGTTTGAAGTCCTGTATGAATGATTAGCTGATGAACTGAAAAAGATTAGTGATAAGCCTAACTGCTCTAGCTTTTTAACAGTTCTTCATAAAGCGTCCCCCCCTTATTCCTCGATAGGAATCAAACTCAGTAACGTATCTCTGCTATCAGGTGACTATTATTTGAGAGTCTTGTTGGAACAAAACGACGAGGAGACGCCGATAACAAATGTGTGAGTCCACGACATTTATCTATCAGGGTTTGCAAATATTCAAACTACTTTCCATGTGCTTTTCTGTCTGGCTTCCCCCTATTCTCTATATTGCTGCACAGTTCACGCAATGTTATTTGTCCTGCAGAATGTAGTAGAGAAGTATAGAATCATGGATGAAACCATTCAAGATTCGATCGACTTTTCTATTTTGTTTTCAGGCTCGAGTTGTCTAACGATCTGTATCACTGATTCCTATTGACAACTAAACCAACTATGAAAGCAATGTGCCTTCAGGTGAGGATGTCGTTTAGCGCGAATGTAGCCATGTGTAGCCTTCGAAGAATGAATTAAACAAATTGGAATATTTCATTCACAGGCGATGACTAAAGTTTATGGAAAATATCACGAAGAGATTGGAGCTTTTAATGACACCAAGCTAAGGATCATCTGTTATTGATCCAGTGTTACTGCAGAAGCCTGAACTAAACTAACTTTATTCATACTGTTTCGTATTTTTAGCATTTACATGAAAATGGCATCACTAACAGGGATTGGAAGGTAAGCACGCCCTAATTTATTTATCACTACTGTCTTTATATCCTAAACTTTAACGACCATAATTTAACTTTTTCTTCTTTAGCCAGAAAATGTTTTATTGTGTTCCTCGTATGATGAAACGCTTATAAAGGTGTGTGTCGGTTGTGTATTGAACTTGTGTTTAAATTGCCCTTTAAATTGTCTTTGAAGAAACCATTCGATGTGACCATTGCCAGAAATCCTGGAAGTCACTATAATCTCAATTCCGAGTTTTGTCCGTGATTTCGTTTTACGAAAGCAGAGCGCATTCTGCAAACGTTTTAGGTTCAGTTATTTCTCATTGTTACAGATCTCAATGATAACAATTAATTTTTTAGATCAGAATTCCTATATGGAAACACTCTGTGGTACACCAAGTTACCTCGCTACCAAAATGTTAATCCCGTAGCCTGAAGAACGATCCTACAAGAAATCGTGTGACTGCTGGAGCCTGGGAGTTATACTATATGTTTGGTATGCCATATACTTCAGTTTACTCAAATTCACGTAGTGAACACGATTTGTAATGAAGCTGGAGGTAGCTTAACCTCATTTCAAAATTGGAGTACGTCAATGAAAAGTTAACGTCTTTTAGACTTTCCGGATCTTCTTTATTTTCAAAGCAGGCAAATAACCCATTGGAGAAACAAGTCAAAGAAGGGTCGTATAAATTTCCGAACAACCTCTGGAAGAATGTTAGCAGTGAAGCTAAGGATCTTATAACAAAACTGCTTACTGTTGGTCACAGAAAATGCATCACGGTTTCAGAAGCTCTGGAACATCCTTGGATGAAGGTGATGATGAAATTACTAACCGCCTTATAACACCCCGCATCTAAGATTTTTCAAAATCGGCTGACCTTTTTCGTCTGAAGTCCCAGCTTTTTCGAATTGTTAGAATTAGTTTGGTTGAAGTTTAGAACTGATACAGCTATCCAGCATAAATAAAGTCAGTTTAGTTCAGGTTTCCTCCTGTAGTAACACTGCATCAATACGGGATGACCCCTACTGGACCTCCATGAAGGACAATTTAGAACTGATAGAACTATACGGTATAAATAAAATTAGTTCAGTTAGGAGAGAAAGCTTTTAAAAGTGTTAGATTGATCCACGATTTAACAAGGTTTTTGTCTTTTGTAGGATAAAGAAATGATAGAAAAAGCAGAAAAAATGATAAAACCGACCGTGGATGGAAGATCAATGTCTCCGCCCTTATAAAAGGTATGTTGAAAACTACGATACTTGTCCCGTTCTTCCGTCCAATGACCCTTATTTTCAACTCGCAATTGCAATGAAACATTACATGTTTGCAAGTTACATCGAAATTTAACTAGCTTTCCGAAACAATCTCAAGGCGCTGTTACACTACGCAACTTTCCTTGCAAATTGCAAAACCATTCTACTCCTGAGGCATCTAAAGTTGTCAAATACGAACATCTATTACGATCTGCTAACGTTTCCTTAGTATTTCGAACACTCTTTACAAATTAACATCCTTCGGAGTTATAATTGCATTGCAAGTTGTAAGGAAAATTGCATATTGTATTGTAGCGCCTTCAGTAAAGTTGAAAACTCACCGTGGAATGAAACATTGCATGTCGGCAAGTTAAAAGGCAGAAAATAACTGTCACCGTACATGGTGAAGACTGGCCGACGGTCACGTTCAGCAGACGAGGCTCTGCGAGCAAATAAAATACTCAGTGGCGTAGCCAGCACGACAATTTAGCAGCATGACTGAAAATGCTTCATGTAAGATCACATCACTAGTTATTCCGATAAATAAAAGAACAGGGGCCGGTTGTTCGAAAGGTGGATAAGTCGCTATCCAACGGATAACTCACTATCCAACGGATAAGTTTTATCCAGCGTGTGATTTGGGTTGCACGAAGCTTGTATAACTTTATCCAGAGGATAAAAATCGCTATCTACCGGATAAATTTATCCAAGGTCCGGAGGTGGTTTAAATCCACTATCCAGTGGATAAATTCAAAGATACAAGGTAACACTGTAAACATTTATATAAAATAGGACAAAAATGCAATATTCCTCTTACTGTGTTTCAACAAACTAATACGCATCATGATTGTATTCACTATATATTAAAAATGTTTTCGAAGTGCAATTTGTCGCAGCAGCGTTTCACGTTGCCTACACATTCCGTTCGACCGGCGATTTTTTGGACATCCTCGCATTTATAACAGGTGGTAAATTTACTATACGCTTCTAATCAGTTTATAAACGCGAATATGCAAAGAAAGATTCAACCTATTCCAAGGAAACTTGCTAATATCTAAGTAATTTCATTCACGAACATTAAAATAGTGTTTCTAAATTTGCTATTGGACCGAAAGGCAAAGCGTTGCAAGGTCAAGGAATAAAATTGCAATGTGTTTAATTAATAAAATCACTATGATGTGAAGTGCAAAGTTCGAGCAAATCACTTGTTCAAGCCTTTTCCATTCAGTAACTATACTCGAGAATTCGTAATGATTATGAATTCAATGTTGTAAATGCTTAGCAACAGCTGACGTTGTGGTACGAAATTTCAGAATAATACTGTTTTCTTCTGGTAAATTTTAACTTATCTATTGGGTAGCTATCCACTTCACTATCCACGCTTCCTGCAACGCGTTTTTATCCAATGGATAACTATCCAGATTTATCCGTTGGATAGGACTTATCCGTTGGATAAGTTATCCATCTTTCGAACAACCGGCCCCAGTTCCATACCTATACTTTTGTACGTGTGAAACTTTTCGCTTGATTTTCTTTTAATTGTGAGAATCCGACCGTGCAGCAAACATTGAAATAAAGCGATAACACTAAACTTGATTGTGATAGCCCTGAGTATATACCGCTATAATAGCTTTGTTCCTCATAATGATATGCTGGATTCCTCGTCCAGGTATAACTTCAACGTGTTCCAAAGAATTTTGAACATTTCCAAACTTGTAATTTTCCGCATATATTAGCGAAATTAACAAAATTCTGCGGATTTTTAAATTTTTTTTTTAAAAATAGCTTTTTTGCGGACACAACTCCACTGTCCGCATAAAAAGGATTTTTGTCTTAGAGGTATAAGGATTCCACTGTCCGTCGGTTTCAAACAGATAGGCGGGATGTCCGAATTTCGGAAACCCCTATATCTCAATTTGAGAGACATATAAGGGTGTCCGAATTTCGGAAACCCTTATATCTCAATGTGAGAGAAATATAGGGGTGTCCGAATTTCGGAAACCCTTATATCTCAATGTGAGAGACATATAAGGGTGTCCGAATTTCGGAAACCCCTATATCTCAATGTGAGAGACATATAGGGGTGTCCGAATTTCGGAAACTATATATATCTCAATGTGAGAGACATATAAGGGTGTCCGAATTTCGGAAACCCCTGTCTCTCAATATAAGAGACATATAAGGGTGTCCGAATTTCGGAAACCCCTGTATCTCAATTCGAGAGAAATATAGGGGTGTCCGAATTTCGGAAACCCTTATATCTCAATGTGAGAGAAATATAGGGGTGTCCGAATTTCGGAAACCCCTATATCTCAATGTGAGAGACATATAAGGGTGTCCGAATTTCGGAAACCCCTATATCTCAATGTGAGAGACATATAAGGGTGTCCGAATTTCGGAAACCCCTGTATCTCAATGTGAGAGACATATAAGGGTGTCCGAATTTCGGAAACCCCTATATCTCAATGTGAGAGACATATAGGGGTGTCCGAATTTCGGAAACCCTTATATCTCAATGTGAGAGACATATTGGGGTGTCCGAATTTCGGAAACCCTTATATCTCAATGCGAGAGACATATAGGGGTGTCCGAGTTACGCAGTGCATTGTATCTACAATTATTCGGGTTATATTCTCTACGCAAGTCGAATGGGCAATGGTCAAGTGAAACCAATTTAGAAGTATATTTTGTAAATTGCAAAGGAACATTCTGACAATTTAAAAAGTAAGTTGTCTTAATTAAATTTTCGTTATTGTATGTTTTCGCACGTAGAGCCGGGAATACCCAGCACACAATGAAGATATATAATATATATATAGATTTATAGGTTCTAAAGTTCTTTCAACTTTCGCCTGGCCTCTCGTTCCTCTTCTTCTGTTTTTACCAGAATGAGGCAATTGCGTTTGATCGTGACTGCTGCAACACCGCCAGCTGCAAGAAAAAGATTTGACAAAGATGATAATAAATGTTCAATACTGTACCAGGCGGGAAACGTATTATATTATTTACATATATATAACGTATTATATATACCTTCGGGTAAATTAACATCCAATATCCAGTCACCCGAGTGACTGAACATTTCTACCAGCCGCAAACATGTCTCAAATTCTCTGTTTGCCGAATTGACACAAATGAAGTTTGGGACCTTGCCAAACGTGAAGTTGAAGTGTTCTGGCAGAATTCGCCCAGATACCGAAGCATGCATGAAGACAACAAATGCTTCAACAGTCTCGTTCATGCCTGCTAATATATTCCCTACAGAGTGAAAAAGGACAACGATTAACCATTAGCTACAGTATTCTGCTACATGAATTGCGTACACAGTGTCACAGTAACATTTTCTGCATTGTTTGGACAGAAGGATGCCAGCCGCTCTGCTTGTGTTTGTCAACATAACAGGAAATTGCGAGTGAAATTATACACACTTCAAATTCAAATTAAAGCAAAATGAGTCAACTATAGGTCCCCGGCAGGCTACGCTTTTACGTGCATCGAAACCTCTAAAATTTACGTGCATCAAGTGAAGTGCCAAAAATCACGCTTGATTGTGGATATATACTCCACAAACTGGAACAATCAGGAACACACACCACATGGTTGGCGGTTGCCTAACAAATTACTAACTATCATCTGTTTAAATTTATTTTTTACGCCCCTTAATTTACAAAAAACTTTTCAATACTCATGACGTTCCTCTTTTGCCCACAAAAACCTAAATTTGTGTTTTCATGGCATTCACGCATTGCCTGTATGCATATCGCTTAAGCGCAAGGCTATATAAAAAGCATTTATTAATTTATATATAGTACTTTATTGGTATCAAAACAGTCTCGGCGGGACAAGGGTCTTGTATAATAAGGAGAGTGTTTATATACATTGATCACATACATGCAGTGGCGTAGCCAGCCTAAAGATTTTGTCCCGCTATCTAAATTTCAAGTTATTATAATTATTCCTGCCTTTATAAATTCATTGTTTTCACAGTCAATGAACACCAAAATATTAGCATAGCATGACAAATCGTCGGGCTGCCTACGCTACTGCATACATTCAGCTGCATACTCGTACTTTACTCGTACTACGACAGTACGACACCGACATTGTCATTTTATTCAATCCCTATAAATAATGACATGCCTACTTCGTTTTTTCTCGGGCAAACAGGGATCATATACGAAGCGCCAATGAAACAAAATGAAAACGCAGCGCGAAAATGGAATTTCAGCGGTCACCAAATATAGATAACGACATGCAGTCTCAAGCAATTTGATCACACATATAACTATATATACATGTGCATAGCATGCCTTTAAATAAAGCCTTTATATATGCTATATTTTTCTTCCAGCCTATAGCTTTGCTCTTAAAAAGGAGGGTTTTTTCTTTCTACCTACTATAAATCCGAGAAGCCTAAAGCTAGCTAATATCAAAAAGGTTTCAAAATATCGAAACTTAATACATACCTTAATTGAGAGGCTTATTATCCTCATTTTTCACGCCGGCAGCACTGATGATACTCGACGCCTGTCTTTGCTAGCGGCTTTCCAGCAACATATACATACGCCTTTCCTTGCCTTGCCTTACGCGAACCGACCACTTTTTCATTTGTGGCATATCTATATATATAAACTCCCTCTCAAAACTACTGGCATTGACAATTGAAGCTCAATATGTTGGATGTGGGAAGAGCGCGCGTGCGAAGTATATCATATGAACATTACACCTGGTCAAAGCGGTAAACTCAACCAATAACAAAGAAAAGTTTTTTCCGTTGTCAGAGAGTTAATTAATAGGAATATCCTAATCCAATCAGTGGACTGTAAAATAAAACAGGTTGTCAGACAACAAGGAATCACCTTCGAGCTTCGGCGCAATTTACTGATATATATATATATATATATATATATTATATATATATATATATATATATTATATATATATATGAACCAATATCACCAGCATTGTCTTTGTTATCTACGAATAAGAAAGGACCAGCGCCAGCCACCAGCAGCTCACCCGGTTTTGATATAAGATTTAGTGACAATGAAAATCATCTCCTCTCATGATTCAGAGGCAAAAAGTAAGAGCATCATGAATTAATAATGCCATATATATAT